GGAGAGTTGGGCCAGCACAGACAGAAATAGACACTTCCAGAAGAGGAGAGGGCTAAGGCATGCAAGGAATGAGGGGGGCTGTGCTAGGGTAATGATTTTTCCTCAAGAAGTCACATTTTATAGCAAGTTCAAAGGCACATTGCAAGGAAATAAAAAAATGATTTATGGAACGGGACAAGGCTGCAAGTAATGCATTAAAATACCAAGAGGGTTATTCACAAAGCTGCCGAAGGATCTAGACGTAGCTTTGGCTGATCCTTCGCTAGCTTGAGTCTGACTCCTTCTGCACTTCGGGTCGGCCGAACATGCTGAGCGTTTGGCCTTTCGGCAGCTTTGTGAAAAACCCTCCAAATGTTCTGAGCTTTCATCTATAATTTTTGAAGCTGGTAAAAGTAGCTTGGTTAAGTAGCAAGTGTTCAGACATAATGGTTTTTAACAACAGAATTGATGTACTTCACAATTAATGGACGTGTATCAGAAATTGCCCTACTCAATATTTCTATTTGTCCATGAAGGTTCTTCAGACTTCAGATACTCATCCCACTACTACTTACTAAACATGCCAGCCTACAACTATGTCATCACCCCTTCCTCTGCACGGTGCAGGGATTGTGATAAAAGACAGATCACCGAAAGGTATTCGGTAACACTCAGCAGGCACCATTGTTACCAGTGAGTAATGATGTTCCGTGTCCCACCAGTACTGTCTCCACTGCTCACCAGGAATGTGACAATGCCATTACCTCCCATTATGTGGAAAGCAGCTACTCACTGGAGATGTGTGAAGTCCAAAAGGCAAAGGTTATGGATTTTAATGGCAGGTCACCCACTGCAGTCATCAAACTCTTTCCCAGGAAGTGCCGACCCATTAAACTGTCAGTGTCTTAAAACTCCAGTATACTCCAGTCCAAGGAGGATCAGAAAAACTTTAAAATATGTGTAACACACGAGCAATGAATGTCTCTTATGTGTTCTCTTTTTTTTTAATTTTACTTAACCCCTTAGTGCGGGGATAGCCCAGAGTTCTTCTTTAAGCCCCACTGCAAGGGTTAAGAACAGTTTTGCCCGGAATTCTTCTTTAAACATACCATTGAAAGTTTAGTAATATCTGTTTGATAAGTGTGAAAATTACCTGTTGATCCGGCCAGAAATCTGGTGAGCTGATAACTTCCTGTGCACTCTTATCAGTTAGCATTGTTCCTACCTATCTCGGTGGATGACAGAGCACCTCCCCCTATGTTATGGAGATGAAGAGGGAAGATGTTCTATAGTCCTGCCTAGGCTGACAACATAGATACAGTACAGAGAGTGAGTGTAGTCACTTTAAGACAGTGATTTTGAAGGATAACTAGGTGAAAATAAAGGAATAAAGGGAAAACTAATTAACCCACCACATTTAAGGACTGGTATGCTGCAATATATTACATTTAGATATAAGGTGTCACATTAGAACACTTTGATCCTAGAAGAAGATCGATAGCAACTGGCAACAAATAACCTTGACATTTTTGCGTGTCTTAAGAGTAACTGTTTTGGGGATATTAAATTGGTGGGTAAAGTCAGTGGCGTCACAAGGGGGGTGCGGTCCGCACCCGGGTGCCACCTTTGGAGGTGGAGACACCAAATGACTCGCAGTCATTTTGGTGTCACCCCCTCTAAAAAGTCGGGCACTCGGTCATGGATTGAGAGCCCCATAGTGTCAGGAGAGAGGAGGGGACCCAGCGGCATACCTCATCCCGCCAGGTGAACGTCCCCTTCTCTCTCTGCTGGCGTCCATCACCAAGATGACCGCCGGCAGGCATCAATCAGATGGCCGCACATGCGCGATGACGTCATCGCGCATGCGCGAGGTGACGTCACGCATACGCGCAATGACAACATGGCGGGGTGTCACCTGGTCTCTAGACCTGGCCTCGGGATGCCCCTGGGTAAAGTTCTGCTTTAAACACCATGATTTAGTGTTCTTGGGTTTATAGGGTACATGTACAGGTAAACAATTGCCATGTCTATCTCTTTTTCTTTAATAAAACATTTGTTTTATTCTTTGTAACAATTTAGTGTTGCTGATCTCCTGCAGCCTCTTTGCAGAATATTCCCATCTACATGCACTCCAATAATGGCTGTATGGCAAATTTTAGGACGAGTTTCCTGATGGTGAGATCATGACCCATGTCAGCGTAATGCAATGGTGGGCACACTCCGGCCCTCCAGCTGCTGTGGAACTACAAAGCCCACCGCTGGCGAAATGTGTGTTGATATGTCCAGTTGTTATCTGTATTGGAGGCCGGTGCAGCAGACTGAAAACGCAGCAGCACAATTGAGAGACTGAGTGTTGTCACCCTATTACAGGAAGTGCCTGATCAAGGACCTTTATGGCAGGATCACCGGGGATCATTTTAATGAACGTTGCACATTTTTAAAGTATTGAAAACTTCTTTTGACATGACATTGCCATGTTTATGATTACAGGAGCCATACAGCATCTATAACGATGTGCACTTACCTGTACGGTACACACAGACACCGGGTGGGCTCCACTCTCTCCAGGAAGCCATGATATCTCCAGCTCTGTTGTACTCCGAGTCACCAGTTTTAGATCCACTGGTTTCCTTGGTATAACTGGAAATGGAAGACACATGGTTAATTGCTGATTAACACTGAGAAAAAGCATCATTGGTGAAACATTATCTCACTGCTTCAATAAAACACCGCTAAGAACAATGGGGATGATGGAGAAAAGAAACTGAGCAAAACGTGGAGATTCTCCAACCAATCAAATGCCACATTTCATTTTATGGAAAATTAAAAGAATTCTGATTGGCTGCTATGGGCAACAATGTCCATTTTGTTCCCTCATTTATAATGTATCGGCCCCAAAGCTCATTAACCTGCAGTGGCCAATCACAAATCAGCTCACTTCAGTCAAGTCGGCAAAAGTAGACCTGTCATGGGAGAAGTATGAGAGAGCTGCCATTGCTGATTTCCTTCTGAACATGCCAGTTCACTGACCCACTGGCTCCAATCTTCTCTCTCCGTCTAGACACCAGTAGAACTTTGTATAAAACACTTTTGTTTTTGGAATATTCCTTCTTAGCAAGAAGCACTTTTCATTGGTCAGCGCCGTCAACTGACCGCGCTGGCCAGTGAGTGTTCGCCATTTGTATGAATAGTCCATTGTCACTGGCGGAGGGGAAGGAGCGTTCAGCCAAAGGTAAGTAAGCCAAATGGTAGGGATAATTCCATTTTCCCAAATTCGCCTGGGAAAGGGGAAGTACCTTCTAATGTTTTGTTTTCAACCACAGTGATAAGAACAATTGAAGGAGCTGGATGGAAATTTTTACACGTTTGATATCTGAACAAACAAAATTCCAAGCATGAATGTGATTTTCATTCGGGAAAAATCATACGTATTGTAATGTCCCGGGAACAAAAGAAACCTATTTAAAGTAGTATTAAAGTCTCAAACTTTTTCTCAATAATGAATCCAGATCAAACAAATATACATTGCCCAGCAAAGTATTTCTTTACACTTTTCCTACCAGCTGGCTCTGGCTCTCTCAGCTTGGCTCCCCTGAACTTCCTGTCTAGTACAAGATTATAAGGAACAGCATAGTTTCAAGCAACTGTCCATCTACAAGCCTTGAGAAGAGGGAGAAGAGTGGAGCAGGGGGCATGGAAATGGCTTCCCTTGCTGTGTCTGTGTGTTTGTAGAGACACACACACAGCTTACTAGCACAAACAAGGGTGGCTCCATAGGATTCTGCAAGGGAAAGTAGCCACCCTAAAACTGGATATCAGGACCAGTGCTCGGGGGGCCAGCTGATTCTGCAGGAAACTGTGTATATCAGGAAAGTCAGAGGAAGGTCAGAAGTCCTCGTCTGCAAACTTGTTTTGGTTTAGTGACTCGAAATATTGAAGGCAATGACAGCATGATAAGTATGACCGCCAGGCATCCAGTATTTATAGAAGGACTTAATTGGCAGCCTTCATGTTTCACTTGTTACATGCTTCCATAAAGTGATTTCTGATTGGTTGCAATAACTTTGCGCACTTTGTGTCACCTTGTTGAATGAAGTCCAAAAACGTCATCAGCACACCATTTAAATGTGAAAAAAAATCAATTTAATGACACATTAATGACATATGTCCTGTTTGCACTCCTTACCCAGTCAAAGAATAGACCTATAAAACAGGCGGGTACTTGAAGTGACCACGGATGGCACCGTGAATATCACAAAGTCCAATAACTTCACCAGCACACCATTTAAATGTGAAGAAAATCCATTTAATGACACATGCTTGTCATTCAAACTTGATTTATCGTACCCGCCTGATTTATAGGTCTATTCTTTGACTCGGTAAGGAGTGCAAACAGGACATATCTATATGTGACCTTGTTGGATGGACCCGTATCTCTCACACTAAAGTAAGTTCTATACCAACTAATATATCCAGATACTGAGACACACCCACACATTGTTCTGATTATGAACTCTTTAATACCATTTGCCAAGTTCACATTTTTGATAGATTCTTCACCGCTGACTGGTGTTAAAATATTTGACATTTCAGCTAGTAAAGTCAATCTCGTTCCGCTGCTGGTTCATTTCTACAAACATATTTCAAAGCTGGGAGGCAGCAGGTGGAGGAAGAGCATATAACAGTTAAAAACAAAATCCTTATTGAGAGGAAATCGTGATACAATGAATCACGGCAGAAATTGAGCAGTTAACAGAAGCCTGAGCCCTCCTTCCCCTTCCTCCCGTGGATGCCAGTGGAGTGAGTGGGCACTGTGTCAGACCATGCTGGATCTAAACAAATGAATCAGCCACATTCTTCATGCAAGAATCTTCCACAGAGATGTGTCACCAGCTCTGGAGACAGGTGGGAAAGATTAGCGTGAAGCCGCAGGACGTGGGTTCATGAAACGGTGTTTATACCAGCACCCTACTTAATACAAAGGGCTCAGTCTGCCCTGTCATAGCTGTACCCCTTACTCATCTCCCTCCATGATGTAAGGAACAAGTTCTCATCTAAACCTTCTTTCAGAACTATTGTAGGATACAATCAGAGGCACAGTGGAAGCAAGCCTGTCATAACCATTAATGCCCAACTCTAGGTCAAAATAATTTTTTAATTTTTGAAATAGTAGGGAGACATTAAGACCTCCTCCCAACACTGTAAAATCCAGGATCTGAGCAAACCTCAGGGAAAAAGCTTTTTCTGTAAACTAGGCATGTTGGTTAAAAGATGTCCGCTTTACTCTACATACCCCATGACTCCTCCAGTCTACTCTGATGTTCCTCCCCATATGTTTACCATCTATGCTTTTCTGTGTACTCCAAACTACGCATATGCTCTTTTTGACTGATTTCTTTCTCAGTTCCTAAGGCCTATCCTACAACAGCCTCCACACAAACACTGATTTGGCTGTTTTTACATTCGCATAACGTGTATCACCTTGGTTCATTTGTCGCAACATTGTTCTATTTTGTTGATGGTGTTTCTTAGACTTATTCTGTATTGTCATGTAGGGTCTCGATGCACATGTCGTGGAAGAACCAAACCTAGTTCCTCTTTGACGGACGCCAAGTAATGTCTACCAGTAGGTTGACGCTTATTACTAATTATCTGTACTCACAACTCTTCCTGTGTACATGACCATATGCTGGTTTTATTATTCTTTTTTTGTTATGTTGTATATGAAAAAAAAAAATTTTTTTAATAAAGATCTTTTGTTAAAATAAAAAAAAACAGGATCTGATCCCCTCTCTGTACAATATAAGATTGGGCCCAACTTTACTCCCACCACTTATTCTGTACAATACAAGATCTAATGGCACCCCATACCCACCCACACTGTACGGGATATGGGATAAGACCCAACTGTACTCCCACCACCCATTCTGTACAATACAGGATCTAACACCACCGCCTACACACCTTAACTGTACAATATGGAATATAACCAAGCTTTACTTTCTACCCACCCGTTCTGTACAATACAGGATCTATTGCCACCACCTACCGACCCATAATGTAAAATATGGAATATGACTCAGCTTTACCCCTACCCAACCATTCCGTACAATACAGGATCTGATGCCATCACCTATTCTATACAGTACCAGATCAAACGCCACAGCCTACACTGCCTACACAGTACAATACAGAATCTAATACCATCAAATAACCCCTCACATTCTCTAATATGGGATATAATCCAACTGTACCCCCTATCCATTTATTCTGTGCAATACAGGAACTAATGCCACCACCTAACCATCCACACTGTACAATATGGGATATAACCCAGCTTTACCCCCTACCCAACCATTCTGTACAATACAGAATCCAAGGCCTCCACTATCTGTAAATTACAGGATCCAGGGAAACCACCATCTGTACAATACAGGATCCAGGGCCACCACCATGGATCTAATGCCATTGAATACCCACTCACACTCAACAATATGGGATATAACTCAACTTTAATCGCTACCCTCCTCCTTCAACCACCCCCCATGCACATGGTAGATTACAGAATATTCCCTCTACACACAAACTATAAAATAGATTCCACGCCCCAAACACACCCTACATTACAGGATCTGACCCAACTTTACCCCCCATACACACTCTATGTACAATACAGGATCTAATTCCCCCACCTACAAAACTCCCTCTCCCCCCACACACATACACATATACTGTACATTACCAAATTTAGTATTTAGTACACCCGCTAATACCCACAAACTGTACAATCCAGGATCTGATTCCTCTCTGCTGCTCGATACAATAACTGGTCTCAACTCCATGAAGCCACACACTGTACAATGCTAGGTCTATTTTGTCTCCCATAATGTGAACTATATACCGGTGGAACATTTATACCGTATAGTACATTGTATAAGCGCCCATTAGACTTTATAGTATACCTTTAACTGTTGCAGTCCTTGATGTTGTCACACCTTTTCCATTATGAGCTTCACAGGAAAACATGGATGATTTATTCAAGCCTAGAAAGAAGAGAACCCATATTATAAAATACTGCACAATATTCAGTATCACAAACTCCCAACTGTCCCTCTTGTGAAAGGAATGTCTCTATTTTGGGCCAAAATCCCTTTGTTCTGTAAACCTCCACAAATGTCCATTTTTGGGCCTTTTCTGCGCTTGTCCTGCAGCTGTGTGAAACTGGAGCATCACCAATCGCTACTTAAGAAGTCCCCATGACCACCTTCAAGAAGCGACAGCTTTGCTTTTTGCCTGGAGTTACAAGTCTTCTTTCCTGGAGTCTATTTAATCTCATTTATGAACATTACACTAGCAACATAAATCTGGCGCAAATATATCCGGTGCGACCATATGAGAGTTCAAACACTCGCAATTGCTATGATAAATTCCCCCCATTGTATACTCTTTGAAAGACTCTTGCTTGTGTGAAAACTGATCTGCGGATAAGACAAACGGCACTGACACCTGGACATACCGGAAGGTCTGTTTGATGTTTATTTTCATTGTAGCATTGAAAAGGAATTGTAAAGGTAAATAGCTTGTGTCCTCCCGTTACCCTAAGGAGAACTATGGGGAAAAACACTGACCCCATACTTCTCCTTTAACATTTATTTTTGTCTAGGTGCTAAAATAAAAAAATATACTCATCTGATCCTTGGCGCCGGCTGGCTCTTAGACCGGTCCTTCCAGCCTCCCCCTCCGCTGCAGTGGTGTAAGGTTCCTCTGTGAGTCATCATGTCCATACACAATGTATAGGACGTGAGGACGCTGAGGGACATACCATAGACCATACCATCCTGCAGCGGAGGAGGAGACAGGCTGGAGGGATTGCTGTAACATCCAACTGGCTGTGAGGTTCGGGTATAACTTTGTTATTTTTACACCTAGGCCAAAATGAGCACTTAACCCTTGCAGTGCAGGGGTAGCCCCACTACAAAGGTTAAAACAAGTTTTGCACAGAGTTCTTCTGTAAGAAACACTTACAGATCCTCTCCCTATCCCCAGCTTCTGACTGGTCTGGAAAGGAGAAGCAGCAGACTGATGAGCTCATCTCTCTGGCACTCTGCTCTCCCCGCCTATCAGCCTGTTACTTGTTAGCACATGAGCGCAGTAGCACAGCTATTACCTCATCATGCTGCTTCTCCCTCTCCCATTCTGAGCTTAGCTGTACAGTGGCTTACAAGAGGATTAATAGTGTATTTATTAATACAGATCTGCATAAATGTATGTCTTTCTTATGCCTGGAGTTCAGCTTTAACAGACCAAAAGGGAGCAAATAAGTTCATTGTAGAGATTTATGAACATTTTAGACCTCAACAATAAAGATACGCTTATAATGTATAATATACATGAAATATATACTGTAATATATAATTTACATTATAGAAATCCATATAGATGCATAAGTGGGGAAAAACCCCCAAAACATATCGGCACAGGGAGTATATTTATTACCCAACCAGAGAAAGGCGATCTTGTGCAGAAGATAAAAATAAACAATGATAACAACACTGAGATCACAAACCATATGGATGAGTATCATGGTCCTGGAGCCAGTTACCTCTCCTCTGTACATTGCTGGCCCCCCTCCCTGCCCGGCTCTATGAATGAATATTAGTCTTGGCCCGTCATGAAAATATAAGGTCTCCTCAGGGAAGGAGTTTTGCTTCCAAATCTTTCACTAGGAGAGCAAATCTAACTGTTCCATTTAATATGATCTAATAGCTGAAACATTCAAAGCATAACTATTAGTACGTCACTGGCTATATCAGCCTCCACAGCAAGGAATGGGGAGGACCAGACGTGCAAAATCTTAACAGAACACAGAAGAAAACCTTAAAGGAAACCTGAGCTGGGAAGAATATGTAGGCTTCACCTCCTTATGAAACTGCTAGTTGACTGGCTGTAATGCTTATCCAATGGCTTCTATTTGGTGACCGACTGAGAAAAGCTTTGCTGATCATAAGTTTTTCACTAGGCATGCACTATTTTTTGCGATTGCACCGCACTGCAACTCAGGGCATTGCTGTACCACATGTTCCGGTGTGGGCGGTCACACTGCGGGCGGAACGGTGAACCACCTGAACGCACTGGATAGTGTGAATAGGCTCTAAAGCAGAACTCCAGGATTCTTCTTTTTAATCCTTGAAGTGGGGCTATCCCTGCACTGCAAGGGTTAAAGGGTTATTAAACCCTCACGTTTTTTTTGCATATATCTAGCAAGCAGTAGATGTATGCAAAAACTTTCTATTTTTAAACAAAACCTTTTGAAATAGGTTAAAACTTACCTGTGTCTTCGCCGGGCACTCCCGTCCGAACATTTGAAAAGTCTTGGACGGCCGCAAAGGATCTTGGGGCAGACGCATGCGCAGTTCAGATGTTCGGCCGGGAGAAGAGGAGAGACACAAGGTAAGTCTATGGAGCAGCGTGCACCCGCACAGACTCCGTGGGACATCAGAGAAGAGGAGGATAGAGGAGTCAGCGCTGGATCAGAGACCAGCACCAGCGCTGGAGGGACAGCAGAAAAAGACAGTAAGGAGGAATATGATCGGATCAAGAGGCATGATTTAAGGTAAGTCTTGACACTAACATTGGGTGGGGGGAAAAAATAGCCTTTAATGTCACGTTAAGTGCTTGTTTATGTCCAGGGTCTAAAATAACAAGGATATACTTACCCAAAGCTCGAACCCAGCCAGCTGTCACACCGCTCACTCCAGTCTGTCCCCTCCGCAGCAGCACATTGGAATGTTCCTCTGCGTCCTCTCGTCTTATATCACGTTTAATAAAAAGCGTTTTTCATATTAACCAAACGTTCCACCATAAATAAGTCTGTAGTTGCAGCGCCGCCATGGAATGTGCGCATTGTCTTTACTATGCATTGTTACATTAATTACTGCCATGTGGAATATTTGGGGTTCATGTGAGTGTTTTTTGCTCGTTTCAATAAACAGCAATTGTCTGTGTGTATATTTAGGGAGGAAATGCTTTTAATAATAACTGTGCCCGGAGAGCGTGAGATTGAAAAAGGGAAAATACCACAGAGAGAGGAATGCGGATCAGACAATGACTGAGGATGGGCGCAGGGAGCACAAACTGATGGGGAGGGGGGACACAGAACAGCAAGAGGGAAGGGAGACAACAGGCATCACTTGCACCCCTCCAGTCACCTGTACTGTACACAAACTCCTAACATACAATCCCAATGGCAGAGTCACAATGCCCCCTCAGCTGGGCACCAGATTCTCTAAACTCTCCCAGATGTGTCACAGAGAAACTGGAGCATCTGGAATTTATCAGACCTTGGTTTACCCCCCTCCCCTCCATAGACAGAGCAATGGAGACAACAACACAGCTGCGTTGTAGTCAGCTTAGTGACATCACTCAGAGAAGAGAACTTCCAGCATCCCTTTACTATACTCTTATATAATATCATTGGCCTGTTTGCAATTAAAAGGACTGATGCTGGCCTGAAGGTTTCTTTGGTGGTCAGATAGTGAGCACAGTGAGCACAGAAGCTGCTGGGTGGTCAGATAGTGAGCACAGTGAGCTCAGTGGCTGCCGGGTGGTCAGATAGTGAGCACAGTAGCACAGTGCACCAATTGTAGAGATTCACTCCTCTATTTTTACTGGGGACCATTGTCACTGAGGAAGAAAGTGAGGGAATATTTAGAGTCCTTAGAACAAAAGGTGAGGTAAAATGTTCCAAATGGGCACCCTCAGGGTGTCTTAGAATGAGGCATTTTGAATTGTTTTAGTCCTCCTTCATCATAACCTGTATGGTTATACTGCCTTCTTGGTGGTCAGATAGTAAGTTTAGCACAGGTCTTTTGCCTTTCTCAGCTGGTGGTCCACATTCAGCTACAATGGTTTACTAACACCTGACCATCTCACCTAAATGAGCTAGTTGGACATCACTTTCCAAAACCTTAGGCATTATTATGGTGATGCCTCCTCCTCTTTGCAGCTATAACAGCCTCAACTATTCTGGAAAGGCTTTCCACAAGATTTTGCAACGTGTCTGTGGGACTTTGTGTCTATTTAGCCAAAAGAGCCAACAGGCTGGGGACACGTATAACAGGAGACAAATCAAAGGTCAGTGGCAGGATAACAACTAGGATTTCAAGGAATAAGTCGAAGGTTAGGGGCAGACTGAAGAATAGGATTTCCAGGGACAAGCCAAAGGTCAGGGCAGGCTGAAGAAAAGGATTTCCAGTGACAAGCCAAAGGTCTGTTCATGAATAAACCTCAAGGAATTCAGCTTCAACAGCAAAAAAGGGGGCTCGGCATCTAGCTTAGAACAGCATTCCTCGAGCTGCGAGCCGTGAGCTGCACTGAGTTTAACTAGAGTAAGCAAGAGGGGGGAATCACAAGATTGGCCACAAGCTGACCGCCCTGATTTGCTGAGAAGCTGCATAAGAATTAGCAGGAAAAGTTGGTCAATGCCCAAAGTTGCCAGACTAGTGTGAGAGCAAGTTAGGAACAGAGCACAGGCCTGGAGAACTACAAACCACAGCACAGCCCTGCATGCATGTAGAACCAGGGGAAAGAGGTCTGAACATACTGTGACTCTGCAGCTGAACTGTGACACCACGTACATTGTACAGCCCCTGTACATATATTAAGTGATCTTCTTAAACACCCTAGGAGACTATCACTGCCTCAGTTGGTTATAGGGTCTCAGAGTATTCACTGAGAGTAGGTAGGGTAAGGGAACATGTCATAGCTCAAGACTCTGAAGGTGGAAGCTGCCATTTGCAAATTATGAATTGGGTTCAAGTGTTACATTAAAATGACAGGTTCCCTTTAAAGAGATATCTTTATTGATGCCTGGCCTCTCTACACAGGGTCAAAATGATCAACATTGATAGAGAGAGCTCTTCTTCTCTATTCCTTCACTACCAAATCCCTTTCATGTTTCCCCTCTGTACCCGATAGGCTCTAGTACTATACATCCTTTGTACTGCACAAATAGCATGTGTAGTTTGCCATTGGCTAGTACTGTCATTCAATCACTTTTCTTTGCTCCAGTGTTAACACTTTTAGCAAGTTAATAAAATAACAAAAGCAGATTTCTATGTGGCTGCTATTAATTACCGCTCCATTGTTCTTCTTAGCTTTCTTAGGACAAGATTATGTATATTTGTAAATACTGCATCTACTATTTAAGCCTGCTTGTAATTGTTTGCTCACAATTGCCTGTCGTTGCATTTATTAATAAACATTGGAATGACTCAGACAGTATTGTTAGTGGTATTCAATGCTCATCACCATAACAGAAAAGTAAAGTACTAGTAAATAAAAAGATTTTAAGTACATTGACGTGTCCCGTCCTTCGGATAAGCAATGTGCTTTTGGTTTATGTCTTGGGTTTTCACTCCCTCCCACTTGCCAACTCTGCAGATTTTCTGCTTCCCTTATTCTCTGGAGACAGATGTCAGTGGAAATTATGAATTTCCCCCAAAAACAGACAAAGCAATAAGAGCGCTAAGAATAGGAAAAGACGGAAAAGTCCCTGGAAGGCAATCACGGCATGGAAGAAGTAAGAGAGGAGACTGCAAGACTCCCTCTCCTGTCTTCCCTGACCATCCTAATTGTTAGCATCTCCTTGGATCTCAGCCCTTTATAAGTACCTCCAGCAGGTCACGATTTAGTAAATCCCACAGGAAGGAGATGGCCTCAGTCAGTTAGATAATCCCAATTGATCAATGCTAAGAAGAGTATTACATCACTAGGACGTTTAAAGGGTCTGCCAAAATTATCCTGACTTGTGCGTTGTTTGACTCTCCTGCACCCTTTCAGTGGGCCTCTGTCAGGACACTTAGGAGATAATGTTTTATGTATTATTGTAATAAGAATATTTCAACTTTGGGTGAAAAAGCAAGCTGAGTAATGCACTGGTTTCCTAAAACTCAGGGGAACTCCAGAGATGAAATCTTCTTGACTGTTTTGGTCTAGGACTGCCCTAGTTTTGGCTCTTACAAAGTCAAGTCTAGCCATGTTGTGCATAAAGAAAAATAATGTATATAAAGATAAATCAAAGTGGGCAATGAGCCAATATCAAGGTCTCAAGGCAGTAGACATAACACCACACAAGTGGTAGGACGGGGTCTCTGAGGTCCTGGAACATAAAATAGCAAGAGGCCTAGAACTGGAATTTTAGTACACAAAAAGACTCAGTTCACAGAGCAGGGAAACACAGGGAACATGAAGAATGCAAAGCAAATAGATCCTTGATAGACATGTAAAAAAGCTGACTATTGAATCTTAAAGGAGAAGTATTGGGAGAGTAAAATATAATCTTCCCAATACTTAGAGCCGGCGTAGTACACTGCAGTACACCAGCTTTATATACCAAGAGCTGAGTGATCAAGGAACCGTTGATCACTTAGCTCATGGTCTTCTCCCTGCACAAAGTAGTGACTGTGATTCATTGCCCCCCACAGGGATTCCTCTCTCTGTTCCTCCAGCTCTCCAGTAGCCCTCTATATGCTGACTTTGGGTCACAGCAGTACATTAGTATGTGTATTCCTGTGACCCATAAGAGAAGTAAAGCGAAAAAAGGTATTAACTATATTGAAGCCAAATTTTTTTTTTTTTTTTAGGTTTTGGTAGATTAGGAAAGGGTTATCAACTCATTCAGTTTTTTTATGTCTGTATCCCTACTGGGGACATTTACATTTTCCTAGTGATCGTTGTCATCAGGGCTGAAAGTGAGGATAAAGCCAACATTTTGAGTTGTCACCATTATCCAATGAGGACACTTGTTGCAGTGACAACTGTCAGAGCAGGACTTACCTCACTTTGGAGACATTTCCTCTCACTTCCTGTTATGTCTACAGAAAGTGAACAGAAATTTGCCAAACTGAGAGGTTTTGATGCTTACCTACTCTATCCAAAACACTCTATAAAAATACTTGAAAGGAGAACTATGAGATGAGTGATTTCCACTCACTTGCCTCTAGATAGGCAGAGCCAGCTGTCACTCACGCAGCTGGGCGGATCCCGTCATCTACGTCGGGATCCGCTCCGGCTGCGGCGTCTCAGCATACCGCGAGCTGTAGCTCGCGGTATACTGAGCTTAGGGTAACGGGAGGACGCTAGTTTGTGTCCTCCCGTTACCCTAAGGAGAACTATGGGGAAAAACACTGACCCCATAGTTCTCCTTTAAAGTTGAACTCCAAACATATATAAAAACATATTTGAATGAAGTTGTATAATTATTTAAATATCCTTAATGGCATATTACGTGAAACTAAAGTAAGTACATGAATTTGCTTTAAGATCAGACTCCTTAGCTCACCTATACTGCAGCCTGTCGACCAGGAGTGGGAAGATCACCAATAGGAACTAATCAATACTGAGAGCATGCTAATAGAAGAAGAGAGCAGACTGAGCGGAGAGATAACTCATGCTGCTGCTCCTTCATGGCCAAATCAGCTGGCTGTACGTGTATTGTCCATTCAATTGGTGCTTCTTTTTTAAATGGCTTTTTGTTTTCATCAGGACTGCTTCTATAGGTGATTCAACTTAAAACAGGGTAATCTACAGGTCAAATACACCTGTCGAGACACTGTGACTACAAGTGGAATCAACTGAAAGCAAGCCACGTTTGCCATTGACACAAGCCCAAAGACCATCAACAAAGGTCCTTAAGATGTATATGGGATGTAAAAGGATTTAAAACGTCTATCAGGTTTTCGTTGTCCCCATTAAAGGTATTCCTCTAACTTCTTGTCCCATCACAAGATCAGAAAGAAAGAGGAAAAAGAGGTAAAATGTACTCTTCCCAATACTTTGAGCCAGAGTGTGACACTGCAGGTATCACATTTGAGCTCTATAGATCAAGAGCTGAGCCATCACAAACTGTTGATTGCTCAGCGTATGGTCTTCTCTCTACAGAGAGAGGCGACTGTCAGTCACCCTTCCCCACAGGGACCCCTCCCTATACCTCCAGCACTCATTGGAGGAACAAACAGGGGAGAGGGCAGGCACAGCTAGCTCTAGAAAGGCAGAGCCAGCTGTTAATCAGGCAGCATGGTGGTTTCTGACAATATTGTCTTGATCCTTCCTAGTTGCAGCATGGCTCTGCGCTGTCAGAAAAAAGCGGGCCCTTGCTCACTATATGCTGAGCTTGGGTCCCAGAACTATATTAGTAAATGTACTCCTTTGACCCAAAAGAGGACTAAAGCCAAAAAAAGGGTTTGACTTTAGTTCTTTTTAAAGTAATAACTTAAATTGGAATATACTGAAATAACATGAAGTTTTTTAGAATGTGTTTATTGTGTAACAATTATTTCTCTGTCAGTAACCAAAACATTAAGACAAAGTAAGAAAGTGAGGAAGTAGCAGAGGAAATGCTTATGACTTAGTCAAATATAAATCATAATAATTAAGACATTTTAAAACAACATTTCCTTTTCACATATGTAACAATAAGATAATTGTTGAAAGCTCACAGTTCCTTTTGACAACACTCAGGTTTGCCTGAAGCAAAATCGTTGTAAGCCAGTGTATGTGAGATCACTAATTAGTTTCCTATTGTCTATTGAAATGAGATGACATGTTCCTACAAGGCTTATTGGGATGATGGCAAGCTATCAGACCTCAACACACTATCGAATTTCATGGTATGTGAGTGCTCGAAGAATGTCCAACATTATTACCAAAAATGAACTTATTATTTCGCTGTTTTCTTTAAATGGTAAGTGTTGTATCATGGCTCATGCTACATGACGCGCACGTACGTAAATACATAAAAACGCGCCATAGCGGCATGAAAATGTGACACGTTGCTCGTGTTTGGTTGTTAAATACATTTTGCTGTGTAAAAATGCACACACACCTGGTGCGTGTGTGTGTTTAGGTTAGTAAATCACCCCCTATGTGTCATATATTTTGAACGTTTAGATACATGTCAACATAGTTACCGATTTGGTCTATATTGATTAGTTTTCTAGCATCAAAGTTCTCCTGAGGAAGTCTTGTTATAGTCAAAACATGTTGAGGCATCCAAAGAAAGAATAATATCATGTCTTATCTTTCTTATGACTAATTAGGTGACTGCAACTATCTCTATCGACTCAATTGGATCATGCGCAATTTTGTATCCAGTCTGTAAAAACAATACTTGTCTTTAATCCATTTTAATAAATTATTTTATATAACAAGTTCATTGTGATAGCAACTTTGTTTCTAAAAAGCCCCCCTTCCCAGGCTTTGCACACCTGGTAATGGTAAATTGATCAGATAATCTTGAGTACAATCTCAAATACTATGTAACTATGTAACCATTTTTAGAATTGTATGACGCTTGAGAACCTAATGGTCCCAAAGAATCACTCAACTGCACTTTCTGCATCAATCAATAGGTCACCTGGTAAAAGACTCTATGACTGCTATGCACTACCACATAAGCTTTCTGCCCAACCTCATAACATCACACTTATAATTAGACTTGAACTTCAGGCCTCTCACCTCTCACTTGCAGGAATGATGGTGTCAATGCCAGCTCATCGGTCAAGGAGTTCAGGGGCACACCATTCTGCAGCCATATTACCATCACAGGGTCAGGAGGTCCATGAGCATCACAACTCAGATTAAAGTGCACACCAGAGTAGACATGCATGTCCTCAGGTTCATCAGTGAAGAACGGCAAACCTGGGTGAACCAAAGAATGCTAATATTATAGCCGTAGCACATTGCCTCAGAGACGCATAGTTCAATATATTTAATTGTTTTTAGCACAAAATAAATACTTTGATCACATCAACATTAACAAAAAAGCAATTCAATTAAAAAATATTTTTGTTACGGAACACTTTCTCTTCTCATTAGCTAACCACATCCCATCTTAATAAAAAAACATGGCCGATAACATTTCACGGTCATTAAATAGTGATGCAGGTGTTCATGTTAGGTTAAGAAGGGTGGATGCCTTCATTACTATCACCACGGCTTCATTACAAATTAAAAGATCAGCAGTTTGGCATTGTCTGTTGTAGGCTTGAACACATGTAGCAGTAGAGCCAATGTAAAACAACCCAACACAAATAGATAGGTGCGTTGTACACCTTTTTAATGTTGGTTAGGTGAAGCAAGGGCACCTGGTGACAACTCAACATTTAGGACTGCTCATCACTATAAAGTCCAATTGAAGCCTTACATTTTTTAAAGAATATGGCACTCGCAAAATGTGTGTGTTTCCAATACTGTGAGTGCTGCTCTGTGTTGGCAGCACAATGGAGAACCAGGATGTTGCTCTCACAAAGCACAGTGGTTTGGATCTCCAGGAGTCTGACTCTCATCCTGCAGAGTGCGCCTATCAACGACACTCATGCACATACAATCGTATTTATTACTAGAGAATGCCCACAAACTATCTTTACTGGCATTATACAAAGGAGTACTGTTTGTAAACAATAGCCAATTTAACCCTCATTGTTCATAACAATCTTTTTATGTTGACAGGCCTTTCCTGAAGGTGTTTTAATGTGTGTTTTATTGCTAACAGTAAGTCAGCTATTCCTTTAGTCACCATTATGTATGAGGTCCTGTATTGGGTGCCTTGGCTTGTGATTAAAGTTAAACTATGGCCTCCCATTAAAAACAAAATGTGCTTAGTCCTCTGCAAGGTCCTACAAATACTTCTTGATCTTGTGAGTGAAGTCCACTTAATGCAGCTTCTTGTGGTGGGGTGGCAAAGATGCTGCACCACTGCTACATGTAGAGCAGAGTTATCACTCACTCTTATCTAAAAGGTTATTTCACTCACTCTTATGTAGGCTGTGTCTGCTTGTCCTACTGTGAGATTTTAAAATGTTGTGATGGGTATGGCTATCAACATTGTCACAGCTGATTTATAAGCCTGTAATTTGTCAATCAGCAACTGGCCACACCTAATCCTGCCCACTGCATTCTGGATTGACTGCATTGTCTTTTGTTGCTAAATCCCTCCCACTATGAGCGGCAGTGTCTGGGAGGGGCAGTGTGTGAGACACAAATGAGGGAGGATTTGGATCAGTCAGGGAAAGTAAAGGAAGTTCTTTGTTTACTTTTTGAGGTTTGGTACTTGTTTAGACTGTCATACATGATCCTTTAGTTGTCCTTTAAGCAGATGTCAGGTCTTACCTTCTAGTTGCAGATACGCTGCATTAGACAACACTGCATTTTCCCCAACAGACACTGAACATTGATACCAGCCCGAGTCTGACAGCTGAAGAGAGTGAATACTAAAAAAAAAAGAACAAATGAAATGCTTCAGTAAAAAGGAAATGTTTTTGTACAATTATAGATTTTTTGTATAATAGGGTGGCGGTACCATTATAAAGGATGTAAGCTCAAATATAACAGTCAATACAAGATGAAGGTACAGTGACAGAGATCAAACAATGCAGAGCAGTGTGGAAATACAGCATTGAATACAGCAATGAATTTACTGTAAACATTTAATTGCACACAAATAAGGCTAATACATTGTATATGAGGATCATTGCATGTGAGATGCTGCCGCAAGGTTCATCAGTTAGGAATAAGGCCCCTTTCACACGAGCACCTTCAGTTCCGATTCACAGGGGATCCATGCACGGGTCTCCTGCTGATGGGAACGGATGTCACTGCTGTGACATCCATGTCTGACTGTCCAGTTTTTCCTCCATCTTCAGATGGAGAAGAAAAAATGAAATTACCGGAACCATGTTGGTCTATGGGGAATTGAATGTAAATGGCCATGTGTTCTCTTGCATCAGATTACCCGCTGATCCAGCACGGTCAGGTCCAGCGAAACAAAACTCTGATCCGTTTGCTTTTCCGGAGCCGGGCATAAACAGATGTAAACGAATGCCTGTCCATTTAGATTCGGCTGCCCATATACTTACAGTGGGATTCCGATCAGATTTGCCTTAAAAACTGACAGACGGACCTGATCGGAAAGCCCATGTGAAAGGGATCTAAAGAGTGGCTTTACAAAGTGAATGTCAGTATATTGCAGGTCATTAACACAAAGGTAAAAACAAAAAAGAGCTATTTAATCCCATAATATAACAGATTTAACTTGTTTTTGGCAAACAATTAACTTGCAGCCATGAAACTCAATGTGCTAAAGATGAGGTCACTGTCAAAACTCTGAATCGTGAGATTAAAGGAGAACTATGGGGTCATTGTTTTTCCCCATAGTTCTCCTTAGGGTAACGGGAGGACACAAACTAGCGTCCTCCCGTTACCCTAAGCTCAGTATACCGCGAGCTACAGCTCGCGGTATACTGAGACGCCGCAACTGGAGCGGATCCCGACGTAGATGACGGGATCCGCCCAGCTGCGTGAGTGACAGCTGGCTCTGCCTATCTAGAGGCAGAGCCAGCTGTACCCGCCCCCTCCCCCGTCCGTTCCGCCAGTCAGCGCTGGCAGATCGGAGCGGGGAGAGGGGAATCCAGCCCCTCCCCCTGTCACGGCAGAGAGCCGTGACAGGATCGAGAGCTGAGGGAACCCGGTATGTGTTCTCTCACTTCCCGATCTACTGAGCCGACCTGTGACAGTCTCATTGTCACAGGTCGGCTTAGAACTATGAGGTGAGTGGAAATCACTCATCTCATAGTTCTCCTTTAAAACGGCAAGTGTAGTTTAGCTCTTAATCTAACAATAAAAGTATATGAAGGCTGACTGGGGACACTACCAAGATAGAGAAAGCCAAATGTTTTTTATAGAAGAGGGCTGACTCTGTATTAGCACTGTAGAAAAAAAAAACCTTGTAAATACAGTCAGCAAACCGGAAAAGTAACATTCCAGAACATTTATAGCTCACATCTTCAGAAAAAAAAAAGTCACAATCATTTTTAGGGAAGGAACCTATCACAAGAGGCAGACTAATAATGGGTAATTAATGTACTAGCCTGCGGTCAATAAAGTTAAGATAGTGCAGGGTTTAAAGTGCCTTATTTTTACTGTAAACCCTCCAAAGTGATACATAGAAGGCGATGCACCTACCTTTGGGTGGTGTCAGTGCCATTGGATCCCTGAAAATAGAGGCAGCCCCATCTCAACTTTCATCCTCCTCTGTAACTCCCTGTTTGAGACCAACCATGACTTTGTAGAAAATGGAAGTGTTGCACCAATCCTTGACTTTATAACAAAAAGTCAAGATTTGCATATCAGAGGGTTTGGAAAGGCCTGAGGTGCTGAAGGTGCAGCCAAAAGGTACATAGAGGCATCTGCAGCTGTCTACACTACACTGTGGCTATTACACTTGAGGATTTACATCCTGGAAAAGGTTGCTTTAAGAAATGTGTGATTTTAATATTGTGTTTAATTATTCACTCATCTTAGAAAAACTTTGTGAATTTTAAGTAACACAATATTCAAAACAATGTTGCTAGAGACCTTGCTGGCATGACTGGACAATGGTGATCCAGGCACGCAAGGGCCCTCTGGAACAAAGAAGTCCATGTATACTAAATGTGGGTCATGCTGGGACTCACTTTCATTGTTTTATTATTCTGGACACTACTCACTTATAGGTCTGGTGAAAAGATACATATTCTAAGTCAGGGGAAGCAAGCTGTGGTGAAAACGGTAAATCCCATCACGCTTCTGGAAGTCATGCCTCTGCTTGTCAGAGTCTTGCAATACCTAATGGGATTTGTAGTTTCACCACAGTTGGAGGGCCGAAGTTTGACTACCCCTGTTCTATGTGTTTGCACATGGGCAGTAGTTGAATTGGGGGCTCTTCGGTGGCTTTGTCTGCCACTAGACACTACTAAAAGCTATGCGACATTCAATATAATCTCAGGATCCTCTGACCATGGAAGCCCCCCAATACATCAATGTAGTTAATGGAAAACCTCCGGGGGCATTCCAGCCCATATAAGGCCAATAAAAAAAAAAAAAAAAAAATATGGTGTGTGTACTAGTACAGGCATGTATGCAGTGATAGTGTTGTTCTTGTGTTGTCTGAACATCAAAGTGGAATGGAAAATAAAAGCACAGTGCGAGTTTAGAAGTATGAATAGAACAGAATCATAGGGTCAAAAGTGTATGGCAGGACCAGCCCAGAATTAGAAGTTCACATTGCTTCACATAGGCTTACTTCATTTTCCTTCCACATTCTGCTCTGACCTCGTGTCCTTTGCTTTCGATGAAGTCCAAGTCCCTCCAACATCCTGCTCAAACTATTCGTGTTTACAGCACTGAAATTCCCCACACTTAGATATGCTAATGGTCACATTCCAGTCCCGAAACACAAAATTTTCACATAACATAGAGCTAATCATGGTGACCGGGCAGGTTGATATTTATAGCATGCTATGTGCCAGTCGCTAGGATAGTTGCCCTAACAAGAAACTGAATGATATTTGTGACACATGGCCTTTTAACCCAAGACATAAAAAGCTATCATATAATTCCCATGTGTTTGTAAATATAGATAGATATCCTTAAATTACCTCTGGATTTTATCATTCTCATGTCTGATAAAAGTTTCTATAGTTCTCTGATTCTGATTTTACAGTATGTAGGTGGGGCCTAAAGGAAGCCTGTTCTCAGAAAAATGTGGGCAGCCATTCCTAACCTGGTATCTTAAAAAATGCTTGCTGCCTGGCTGTCAAGTGCTAATCCCCAGGCATTGATTCTTTTTGAGTCAAGTATGCAGATGAGGAGTTTTGACTTTGCTGGCTGCTGGTCTGTGATTCTGAGAATACTGAAGCCTTCTTCAACTTCTAAAGGTGGCCCACTGGCTTCACTAACTTCTGAATCACTGACACGTATGCAGTCAGCAAAGTCAGAAGACTGGCAGTTCATTAATACACATGCAGAATATGTTAGGAGAGTGACAGGTTGCTTAGATGGAAAGTTGGCCCCTCTTCACTCTCAGATTTCCTCCAGGATGACTTTCTCATCTCCGGGTTAGGAATTCCACCTACCTCAGTTCACTGATGGCCAGCCATTTGTCATCATCTTGTGGCATCTGGATCTGGTTAGTGTCAGCATATGCCAAAGTTTCCCCATCCCTCAGCCATTCCACATCTGGAGGTTCCCCTTCTCCACTTACAATACATCGAAGAACAATATCCTTCCCAAGTGAGGAGGTGACATTGGGTGGATTCAATGTAAAATAGATATCTGGAATATAGAAATGGATAGTTAGAATGATCATATTGGTCTATGCAGAACATTCTACCAACATTATCTTTTTTTTTAACGTAATCTTTATTTTTATTATACCAACATTATCTTAATGTCAATCAACTCATTGGTGGAAAGGTGTTGAAGCAATGGCAATATATTTTAGAGAAAGAAAATGTATGTATAAAATAAACACAGTCTGTCAGTCTAAACACCCACATACTAGGTACACATACAATTTAGTATTCTGTAATATAATATAATTTTTCAAAAATTAATTATAATGATCTTTGTTGATATGGAAAGCTAAGTTTTAAAAACTGTCATCTCTCGAGGTGGGGAGAGTGGGAAGGTGATGCCACTGTTTGGCTTATATAATAGGGGGGTCAACAATGACTGGGCCAGAATCAGGTTCTAATGCTGGCCATACACTGTTAGAATTTTGGCTCATTCATAGAAGACAGACAATGTTCTAACCATGGGTGGTCCTGCCTGCAAAACCAATTGAAAAATCATAAAAGCCAGACAAACAGTGAGTACAGAGAATACAATAGCCCATCAGTGCTAAACAGCATGGATGGGGGACCTTTTAGGTTTTAGCTGAACGAGAGAAATCTAACAGTGTGTGTCCAACTTTTCCTGCTATGCGGCTGGCATCTACCTTCCACCACATACAGTGCTCATGTTGTGCTCTCTGTTTAGAAACGTCATTCTGCTCTGTGAATTCTTTGTCAAAGGAACAATTTGTATTAGTAAATCTAAACCTTAATTGGATGGCATTTAATTTGTTCTGTTTATTCTAAATAATTAAATTTTTTTGTCATAAAATACTGTTTTGGCAAATTTCTTCACAGAATTGTCATGGCGGGGTCACCAGGTTTTTTTTTCTAATAAAAGTTGCAGATTTAAAAAGATTGAAAAGGTTTGAAAATACATAAAAACTTTAGCACTTATATGGGATTTCAGTAATTGCATTCTTCTTTATTTTGTTTATTTTTTTTTAATACCGTACATCAGTTTAAAATATACAGAGGGGAATTTATCAAAGCCGGAGCAGGCAAAATCTGGAGCAGTTTCCCATGGCAACCAATCGGCTTCTCTCTTCAGTTTGTTCAGTTGTTCAGTTAACTGTTGTACAATGCTGTTGACAAATAAAGAATTAAAAAAAATAAAATAAACTCCCCTTGCAGTCAGATTACTTCCATACTGCAAAGTTTAACGGCTCCTTTTTGTCTAGGAGTATTGAACAAAGGTTTTTTACATACCTGATCCCCACTCACCTCTCCGCTCTGGCTTGTGGACTGTCCCTCAACATCTTCATGGATAATGCAGGGCTACGGACCCTGCATTAGACATGATGATGTCAGTGGACCTTGAAGGGGGGAAGAGGCTGTAAGCAGAAGTCTTGGAGCCTGCGGGAGTGAGGATCAGGTAAGTAAAAGTTCTTAACCCCACACTGGGCATTAAAAAGCAGTTAACCCTTGCAGTTCAGGTAGTGTCGGGAAAACCAGGTGCATGACCATGCTCAAAGACCTCTATGTGTGCACGGTCAAGCATGCACCTATGCCAGGACAAATATGTATAGATGTTGTTCACGTTGGTAGGCTTACATGTTTGGGCCTGGGATTACATGATTAATGCACAGGTGCATGAGCATATTTAAGCATGGGCTGCCTATTTAACCCAGAGTTTTATCAAGGGAAGTTGCTGAGTAGTAGCTAGCTGAGAAGTAGCTTCTGCTTCCTTTGACCTGATCTTGTACCTTCCCTGCCTGGCTGTGCTTGACCTTGGCTTGCTTCACAACTTAGTTCCTGGCTTGCTCCCTGTGTACCTGCATTGCCTGGCTGTGATTGACCTTTGGCTTGCCTTTGACTCTGCTGCATCTGAGCCAGCTACAGGCACTTCTCCAAGCTCCTGCTTACCCTTTCTCAACTCCAGGGATTGCTGGACAGGAGGTGCAAGGGATGTCCACCCCCATTGCTTGGCCTCCTTCAGGTATGTGACAGTTAGCCCCACTGCAAGGGTAGTTTTTTTACCTAGAGCTAGGCTTTAAAAAGGAGATTAAATAATAAACTCTAAACCATTATAGTTTCCCTTTCATGATAAATATTCCAATACTAAATCTGTGCCCACTGAACTGAAATTACATTTTCCCAGTAGAACTTGTCTTTAACTTATTCAGAATGTTTACAGTTATGTCCCTTTTTGTCTTGTACTCATATGAACTTCTAGCAGTCGGCTTGCTGTGAGGACATTGCGTGTAGAGATGTCATTGTCCCAGAGTAACTTTGCAAGAGAGCCGGAGCCTTTGACCGATAACTCTGTGTAGCTGAATCATTCTTTTCTCTCTGATAATGAATGGGTTTCCTCATGTACTGGTTGTGTGTGTCTTGCCAAAGACCTACTGACTCATTCAACATACACTGCAAGCTGATTGTCTCTTAGTTTCCACACAATTCTACCTTAGATTACTACGAGCACAACAGACGCAAAGACTTTCCATTGTGTTACAAAGCAGCATGTTTGTTGGGGCATTCAATAGGCTGTTATTATCTTGTTACTGATTATCAGCATAGATTTGCTCCACTATTATATCATATGGTATAATCTTATCACTATATAGACAATGACTTAGGAAAAGTTTTGACTCTTATCACTGTGTGTGTCTAGAGCAGCAGATATCAGGTATTCCCATGTATTCCACAACTCCTCGGAATGGATATAATATTTATTCATTGTATATAAAGAGGGGAAAGTATCTCTCAGTATTGTTCATTAATTAGCCCAATTATATGAGTTGCAGTACATCTAAAGCTAGCCAAACACAGCTTGAATTGGGGACCATTCCTGCTGAATTGGCCAAGTTTCAAACTGCGGGTGGCCCTGTTCGCACCACTCGGCTTAAAAATTTCAGTTGCACATTAACTTCAGTGTCAGTCTAAAGCTAGATATACACAGTTAGAATTTCATACAAACATTCATCCAAAAAAATTCTTCAGAACATTTGATTATACAATAAACATCGAACGTCATTCAAAATTTTGTTTAGTTTTAAAGTGGAACTAGACCCACCCATTTAACTGTTTCCCAAAACAGTTAAGGTGGCACAAAGTAAATGCCACTGTCGGCACCCTTTTGACCAGCATCCCTCATTCAGCTGATCTATCTTTACACACACACACACACACAATAGGTTGGACTTGATGGACATGTGTCTTTATTCAACCTCAAATACTATGTAACTATGTAACTATGTAACTATGAAGGAGCCAGTCAGAAAATCTTTGAACAAACAGAACATGTTCAGGTATTCTGACGGGCCGATGGCCGCTTTCAGAATACAAAAATAACAGCAGGGATTCCTTGGTCAACGCACTTGTAGCGTTAATGGAGGAATCTGCTCTAATTTTTTTATTCAGCCCGCGTGTTGAATGAGAGAAATAGAGCAGTGTATGGCCAACCTTACTTTCAAGGCACACCAACTGTCAAGTTTTGCAGTGTGCTTAATTCAGCTCTCAACCGATTTCAAGCTATCAAATGGCTGGTGTCATAGCTGGTCACATGTGCAGCACCATGGCAATTGCAATCCAAATAGAGGCCAAGATGGCACCTTCCTTGGCTGTAGGGGATAGGAGGGTGTAGTTCTGATTTAGTATTCAACTTTAAAACAAAAGGAGTTTTCCCAAATAAAACTGTTATGAATTTGTTTATTTGAGAAAAATTTCCATTCTTTTCCTTCAACTTTTTTCTTAAAAAATTATTGTAAATTTGACTTAACTACTAGAATAGAGAACAAGTGTTCCGATCATTTTCAATTGAAATGCTAACCATGTATGCCCAGCTTAAGTGTATTCAGTGGATGTACACTTTTCGTAATAAAAAGTTTCATAATAAATTATTGATTGTAGCACTCAACCGAGGAACTGGTCACTGGTCTGGCGGCCATTGTTTTATGGATTTGAAATAAACCCTGCTATAGATCCTCACTAACATTAGCTTGTACTGTATATTCAGTAAACATGTCACATAGCAATCAAGCCCTCACTGCTAATACTCTGCAATTGGTGGCATCTCAGATCAACACACTGGCTGCAGATCATAGATTTCTCACAATCCGTCATCCCAACATGTGTGGCCATACAGTATTTTTGTAAGTAATTATAAATGTATATCTAAACCCAAGACCCCAAATGTAACACATTGAACCTTGCCAGTCATTAGATGTAGTAGCTGAATTAGTTTTTCTTTTTCAGGCTTTTTCTCTTTTTTTTTTTTTCCTGATGGTCCTGCCAGTAACATACTTCCTGTACTAGGATTGCAAAGCTCACTAGCCACGCTATATCTATGGAAGAGAAGCGCTGTCATCCTATTGCAGTAAGTGTGTTAGGACTACAGAATACCTCTTGCTCTCCTCATCTTCATAGCATAGGGGGAACAGTGTTCTGTAGTCCACCACAGAGAACATGGGAAGTTGCCAGCCCACAAGATTTCTGGTGGGATCACTTTTGTGCACTTATCGAACAGATATGACAAACCACTTTCAATCGTGTTTTTAACAGACCAAAAGAGAGAAAATAGGAGAAGTCGATTTTTAGGGTTGACATACATTTTAAAGCCCAAGAATGAGTACAATGATCCAAGCACATAGCATTTTCAGAAGAAGGTGAGCAGTGGCAGCCCCTGTATTTTTCTCATGACATGTGCACTTTAAAACATTGCAGCGTCATTGTGAAATGCTTACAATGACAATATAGCTGATGCCAAGTGAACCCAATAGTGCACATACAGTAGATTTAGTGAGTCACATGGAGTTTTGAGGTTTTAAAAATAGAAAACCAACATCTAAAAAATTGGAAACAAGAAGTAGCTCTTGCACAATTGTGTCAGTTTTGCTGGAAATACTTTTCTTTCAGGCTGTTTTTGTGAATGATTTTTAAAAGAAACTTTTTTATCTTTTTTGGACTCTACCTTCTCCACTTCTATTAGCAGAATGCTGA